TACAAAAACTCTTTTGTAAACCTAGGACTAACTCTAATCCCATTGTAACACACAGCCTCTAACTGTTGCGATAACTTCAAGTTAACTCTAACTTGAAAACTCTGAGTACCTATTACAATTGCCTCTAGATAAAGCTGAAAGGTACAATATGAAACCACCTACTACAATTGAACTAGAATAAAAGACAGACACTTGGAACTGGTTCTTCTATCTGGTTCATGTAGTTTAAGGTTTGCACACTTGAATCACACACAAACTGCTTGCAAAATTGCCTTGCTATTTTGTTCTCAATTCACGTTTAACTTCTGCGTTTGTGTATTACCTGCAAAAGAAAACAACACTGATATTTATAGAGTTAGTAAATAGAGATTGACTAGAATTTTGATGCTACTCTTCCTTGGTGTAAGAGTTCTAGTTGATCTCAACCTCTAACTCCTTCCCTTTCTTAAACCGTGTTCTCTTTGAGTAAGGAGTCCTTCTCCTTATCAATTATACAACCTTTTTGATCAGGATCAGGAGATATCAATTCTGTCAAGTTAGGTTTATCTCCTTCACGTGCATCCCACATGCTCAAGTCTATCTGTATCTGTGCTCCACTAGGATGGACCTGATAACCTGATAGACCTGGTTCATGTCTGAGTTCCTTTGTCAGCCTTCAAAAGTAATCTATACTTGGGCCAACAAAATCTTAAAAACCAAAGGAGCGGAAAGGAACAGTAATTGTTTAGGAGAAGAAATTTGGACTAAGAAAGGTAAATTAAATTGAATTGGACTAAGGTAAGAAGTACCTTATCTCCACTTATATACATCGATGATTCTTCTCAAATCTTATTTTGATGAAAAAACTCCTTGGCAACATGAATATCCAGAAAAATCTAAGAAAGCTTCCCAATTTTTTCCGAAGATGCTGGTATTAAGAGAATAAAATGCTAAAAAAGAAAAAAAAATATCAAAAATTTAAATGCTAATCAGAGTAGGCACTTGGCAATACGAAGCGCCAGCAAAAACGAATTAAAATTTGAATTTTTTTGGAGAAAGAAACAAAATATAAATTCTCATATACTCCACCTGGACCCATTTCATACTAATTTGAATTATTCCTTTTCTTTTTTCCCTTTGAGTTATAACTTTAATTTTGAGTTGTGGGTAAAGTACCCCTCTACTTTGTTTTATTCGCTAACTTTATCCTCCATTAGCTATTATGAACAAAAATACTCCTACGTCTTTAAACTTCACACTTATACCCCTATTTGGATGGAAACCCCCAAATCCTCTTAAATTATCCGATTTCCAAAAAATTACCCACTCCCTTTGTTGACCCGCCCCGACCTGCCTATCATCATCATGGAGTGGGTAATTTTTTAGAAAGGCGAAATACATAAACGGCCCCTTTAAATTGTCCCCAACAATCAGTTGAACACCTCCACTTCCCAATTGACCAACTAGACACCACATATGCCACATCAGCCACAATGGTTCAGAAGATACAGTTCTGGTAAGTAGAGGTGTCTAGTTGGTCAATTGGGAAGTGGAGGTGTTCAACTGATCGTTGGAGACAACTTAAATGGACGTTTATGCATTTCACCTTTTAGAAACATTGAGATGATGATGATACACGGGGGTACGGGTCGAGAAGTACCATGCATGGTTGCCCCCCATCCTTGCTTTCTATCAGTCTCACCTAGCAAGCTAGGGTTGCACGGCTGCAACAAATTAGTCAACCAAGGGCTAGGCTCCGTTGAGAAATTTCGTAAAAATCGTGTGGGGTAGCCACGTTTTAAAGTGGTATTTACTTTTTATCCATCATTTTTAATGCTTAGCAATAGTAGCTACCAGTCTATTAAAATTAATATAAAAAGACTGTATTACCCTTTCTTCTACATTATTTTTGCTGCCTCATTTTTGCCTTTGCAAATCTTTACACTTGCACCCGTTTTTTTGATTTCTCATTTGTGTGAGGAATTTTGCATTCCTTAAACTACGGATAAAATTTGTTGGAACAATTTCTTGAAGTCAACTCTTCTAATGTCGCTTCGAAGTTGCAGCAAGGATTTAGTTAATTTATATTTTGGTGTCAAGTTGTTAAATATTATACTCCTAAATATTCCACTGCTTATTGATGCATTTCGTCATCCAAAAAAATTAAATACGACTACCATGGATGGCATCTCTTAAATTCTTTTGCGTAGCTGTGCTAGTTGAATTGGTTGATGAAGTGCACCTGTGAATGGACCTGGAAAATAATAATAAACTAGTGATCTTAAACTTACAGTTAGTTATAAGTTCAAAAGTTAAGGACACTTGGTTCTGAACTTCGAGTTCCAAGTTCAAAAGCTAAGGACACTTGGTCCTGAACTTAGAGTTACAAGTTCAAAAGTTAAGGACACTTGGTCCTGAACTTAAACTAACAAGCTCAAAAGTTAAGGACAATAGGTCCTGAACTTACAGTTACAAGTTCAAAAGTTAAGGACAATAGGTCCTGAAGTCCTGAACTTAGACTAACAAGCTCAAAAGTTAAGGACAATAGGTCCTGAACTTAGGCTAAGAAGTCAAAAGTTAAGGACAATAGGTCCTGAACTTACAGTTACAAGTTCAAAAGTTAAGGACAATAGATCCTGAAGTCCTGAACTTAGACTAACAATTAATCTCAAAAGTTAAGGACAATAGGTTCTGAACTTAGGCTAAGAAGCCCAAAAGTTAAGGACAATAGGTCCTGAACTTAAACTAACAAGCTCAAAAGTTAAGGACACTTGATCCTAAACTTACAGTTACAAGTTCAAAAGTTAAGGACATGTAGTCCTGAAGTTAAGTTCAAAAGTTAAGGACATGTAGTCCTGAAGTCCTGAACTTAGAGTTACAAGTTCAAAAGTTAAGGACATGTAGTCCTAAAGTTAAGTTCAAAAGTTAAGGACATGAGCAGAAGGGTATTTTCGTCCGGGCAGTTAAAGTTTATTAAAGCAGTGGCTAAAGACTAAAGACATTTTAAACAGTGGCTTAAAAGTAAATACATGTGTTATTAGTGGCTAACCGTGCACTTCCCCCCACAAAAATAACGGCTTCGAGTTAGTTTCTGATATCAAATCAAAGACACTATTATCAGAGCGGCCCAACGAGTTTTGTGGCCTAAAGCCAAACTTTATGAGGGGCCTTAACTTTTCTAAAAAATAAAAATTTATTTATTTATTTGAAGTCTATTTTTCTAGTGTTTCTTAGATACAAAGTTATTAATAATTTTCTTATAATCAATAACTCCTAATAAGTATTTATTCTTAATTAGTACTTAATCCATATAACCTTTCTTGAGAAATTGTTGATCTTAGGTAGGATTTTATCAATTTTAATTTTGAATTTTTTTTTCTACCGAAGCGACAATAACAAGAGTTATTAACATTATTCCATAAGTAATATAGGCATTGGAAAAAGAATCAAATCTTTTTATTTGACAGAGTGTATCAATTAAACTGTTATCTTCTAATTGTACTATTTTTCTTAATATTTTTAATTCCGAAGATAAATCTAAACCATCAATATCGAATTGATTATTATGCTTTAAGGAACATTCAAGATTAAGAGAATATTTTTTCAAATTTTCATCATCTAGTGATCTTAATTTTTACCGCTAAATAGAAAATCAAAAATACTTTCATATGCTTCGAATTGTTCAAATCTATTTTGAAGTGAAAAAAAAATAGCATTATCTACTATGTATAAAGTAATCAACTCCAAAGGACTCTTCGAAAGATTTTGAGATTTTATATCATACGTTTCTTACGAAATTCGGGTTCGATATCTATTTCAAGTGCAATTTTCGTGGCAGAAAAGATTGCAGCTGCAAATCCTTCTTCTCTATACTTGTTAAAGAAAGAAATCAAACTTTTTCACTTTCAGAGAGTCTTTTTTTAAAACTTATACATAGTCTATTTGGTGTAACAAAAAACGGGGCCCTTACAAATGTGGGGCCTAAAACAGTTACTTTACTTGCTTTATGGAAGGGCCGCCCCGGACTATTATAGGTTGTTCAAGCTTTTATTTATTAGTCCTATACTATAACACCTGATAAAAGTAGTGGGGATTTAAACACTTAAATGAATAATCAAAATCATTTTCATTGAGAACATGCGAATGAAATCCGTTGTTATTAATCGAGGCATTTATGAAAATGAAGTTACTCTGTTTTTTTCTTTCTTTCCAAATTTCACTAGTCCTAAAACAGGTTTGGTTGCCTCTCTAACTCTATAAGGTAGGGGAGGTTACCTCCCCAGGCCCTACTTGAACATTTCACTTCATTGGTTTGATGTTGTTGTTAAAACAGGTTTGGTCGGAGACGCGCGCGTCCTCTCTCTCTCTTTTTTCTTTTTACCTAATTTCCTTTTCATAACATGCTATCACCATTTCCTTTTCATAACATGTCACTATGTCAGTACAACTTTACCTTGAGTCATTTAAATTATATGGGGAATCATTACCTTGAACTTTTGGGGTGTGTTGGACGTCAAAAATGGTGAGAGTGAAGAGAATGGTGTGTGGCGAGAATCAGACTTTTTACCTCTAAGATTCAATTGTAAAGTTCTACAAGAGGAGAGAGCTAATTAAATGCAATAGTTTGCAAGTTGTATTAAAGCAATTGTGCCATTGTTACTGGTTATTGTTATTGCTTGTCTTTCTACTTTCTGGTTCCTACGTTGCTGGTAATATCTTTTTGGCTTCTGTTGTTGTCACTGATCTAGTGTCTCTTTTCGTTTTCTTGAGCCGAGGGTCTATCGAAAACAGCCTCTCTACTCCTCTAGAGTAAGGGTAAGATCTGCGTACACACTATCCTCCCAGACCCCACTTGTGAAATTTTACTAGGTTGTCGTAGTTGATGTTTTTTCCATTACTGACGGGGAGCAGAGAGGGGATGAGAAGACAAAAGTCACAATACAATGGAGTAATCTACTTAAAGCTAGAGTGCATCCAAAAACTCGAGAGTGCACTCGAGAAGAGTGGTGAACGAATGTCACTAATAGCTCCAATGTCCGCAAATCTTTTGTTTATTTCCTTCAAAATGGTAGATAAGTAAAATAGTGGAAAAATAAAGAAGTTATTTCCAGGAGAACAGTAGAGCTCTTCTTCCTTGGCTTTGGTTGGATATACAAAAAACCAGGAAATGCAACAATATTTTCTTCCTCCTAGATAGAATTAGAAATAACAAGAGGAGTTACTGTTAGTACTAGCAGTGATTCCTTGACATACTATACTATGCCCCCTTTTTTGACAGGTTCCAACACAACCAATGCCTGCTGCTGCTCTTCTTCTTCTTCTTCCACTCCGACCACTTCTTCAATCTTTGCCTCTATATGTTGTCTACAGTATCTGAATATTACCAGACATATGAATGCTGCCAAGGACCAAAGCCACACACTTTTTAGTTCAATCTAAGCTAACTGCCATTTTGTTAGAATATGCTAACTCCACAAATGGCTTAGATAAAAGATCAAACCAAATCTAACAATAATGAATGAACTGGTTCGCAAATTACCTGTGAAGATTCGTGTTCTGACAGAGGTTAGGTTCCAAAATGCAGTCAATGCTGATGCTGCTATCATTTTCTTGTGAGAGCAAGCTCCCCATGTCTCCATCATCCAACATTTCATATAGTTGGCTGTCTCAACAAAATATGCACTTGTTTGAAATGTAGAAGCAACCATCAATAGGAAATAATCTTTAATCTGAAGCACTTATTACCTTTATTAGATATCTGAGAAGAATAAGAGGAATACAGTTTTGGGGCAGTAAAACTGATGAAAAATCCTGACAAGATTGAACACCAGAAAGTATTTAGTGTTAATTATTCTGAAATTTCATGATAGAATGTAATACTAATAATGTGCATTTATTTAGGACAATTGAGTGATCATACCGAGGGCACAGAGCCTCCATAGAGTTATCAAATGGCCATACTCAGCTCCAATTAGCAGGACTGGTACTAACTAAAACAATAGGCACATTTCCAAAAAATGACAAGTACTTAAGCATGAAAATATATAAGTACAGAACTAGTGCTAAAATGGAAGTTTATAAACTTGAGAGTAGGAGAATAAGATAACATACTTTGAGGGTCATAGCAGGTTCTCCTGAAAAAAGCTCTCTTGTTTTCGAAATTGCAAGATTTGCAGCTGGAAGTATCAATCTTCCCATTCTCAAAATGTCATCTTCAGTCAGCTGAAATTCACTCTTTACTTCTGAACCATCTCTGAATTTTAGTAATTAATGAACCATTCAGAAATAGTGCATTATTGAGAAGCATAAATAACTTACTAGTTGAACGTTTGTTTACCTTTGGCGAATGGAATGTGAGAAGAATGAAACAACCAAAAACAGTAATCCCAATTGCGACATGATAGAAAAAATGCTGCAATCAAGAATATTATCAAATGGAAATCTCTTCTTATTAAAAAGAAAAAGTGGGATATAAGAGAAGGAAATATACCTAAAAGTAACTCCTTTTGCAAAACAACAAGATAAAAAACAGAGAGACCCTAAACCAAACCAGAGGCTTGACCTTGCCACATCCCTCCACATCACTAAATCACTTAACAGCAGCTCAATTCTGTTTATTAAATCACACCCTTCTCCTCCTTTTGCTTCTATTGCTTAAAAAAACAAAAAAAACAAAAAAAAGTAAGCACAAGAAATGAAATATGGTGTTAAAAAGTAAAGATCAGAATAATCTGAGACATACTTGTTGAATTTGAAAGAACCAAGTTAAGCTTATCCTTTTTGGATTTACCACTATTCCTCTTCTTTCTTGGTTTAACCACTTCCTCAACTAACCCCAAATCTCTATCTTCTCTCATTTCTTGCTCTAACCTTCTCCTTGATCTTCTATTATTTCGTGGCGAAGCACCAACTAAAGAGTTTCTACTTCTTCTCCTTGTACGAACCCCATTAGGCTCAACCCCATCGTCAACCAATTCAAGCTTATCAGCAAGACGAGTCCTGGATTTTCGAAGAGGAGAAGGAGAAGGCGAAAGAAGTACCAGCTCGTGAAGCGGGAGATTATTACTGTAAGGAGGCTTATTAGGTGACATCGTTGGAGAAGCTGGTAATCTTGGTGAAGGGACTATTTCAAGAGAGACTCTTGGAGTAAGAGATTCATTTTCTTCATCATATCGGCGGAGTTTTGAGAGTCTTGATGCTGATTTTGTTCGGCTTCGTGGCTCAGATCGATGAGATGGAGGAGTTGTATCCATTGTTGATACTAGAGAAGTTTGAGTCATTCTAATTTTGCAGTGTTTTCCTTTTTTTTATTCTTGATTAGCAGGGGAGGAGGGTATGGACAAGATTCTGGTGCGATTTGAATAAGAGGTAAGGAGAAAATAGCCGTTGGAGGAGACATTATCTTTTTCGGCATTTGATTATTTTAGCGGCGGAATTTGGGCCCATTGGGCTTTTGATTCTTAGTCCTAACGGTAGGAAATGGGAGGCAAGTCCGTTTGTTAGCTTTTCACCTTTGTGGGCTTTTGCTGCTCTTGTAGGGGTTCATGGTTCGGTTTGGAGATTTTTCCCTAACAGAAATCAAATCGAGTAAGTCGGGTTTTTAAATATTAGAACCAAACCAAACCAACTAAGTCAATTTTTCTCGATTTGGTTTATGTCAAGTTTTGTCGTTTTTTAAGTTTTTTCGGTTATTTATCATTTTTTTCTTAAATATAAGACATACACTACCACACACATTTTCCGGCGACCACATTTTCAACGTTACACTATCAAATCAATTGCCCTTTGAGAAATCTATTATTTACTAAAATATATTGATGATAATTGAATAAAATGGTGATGAATAATTTAAAGACTCAATTAAAAAAATATTTTTTTTAACATGAAATGAATTCTTACACTTAACAAAAGAAAACTACCAATCAAACTAGAATATAAAGGTAAAAAACTATACTAAAAGTGCAAACGATTAACATTCACCATAAAATTTTGGAAACTTTGTATAAAAATATACATATATATATAGGTGTAATAATAAATTTGAAATAGCTGCTCCTATAGTCGGTTTGGTTCGGTTATTTTTTGATTAAAACCAAAACCAAACCAAATTTGATCGGTTTTTAAAATTCAAAACCAAAACCAAACCAAACCAAAAAGTATCGATTTTTTGGTCGGTTTGGTTTGGTTTTCGGTTTGGTTCGGTTTTTCGGGTTTTTATGAACACCCCTATGCTCTTGGATTCCAGCTGCAGTTTTTGTTAGTAATCTTTTTTTATGAGGAATTTTCATAAAGCACTATAGTATAGAGCCTATTAACTATAGTTTGTGTAATTACTATTTGTAGCCACTATTCAATTGTTACTAGTTTGTATCACGTGTATTCAAACATGCAACAAATACTGCTTGTGTCAATTGTATTTGTTCGCACAATGAATAGAGCCTGTATCAACTGTTTTTGTTCACATAATTGTATTTATTCGCGATGAATACAGCATGTATCAACTGTAACCTGGGTGAAATACAAGGGTGTATACAAATGATACAACTTGTAGCGATTGTATATATACGCGTACACAAATGATATGCAACCTGGGTGAAATACAAGGGTGTATACAAATGATACAACTTGTAGCGATTGTATATATACGCGTATACAAATGATACAACATGTATAGACTGTATTCGTTAGTGCAATGAATACAACTAAGGCGAAATGCTCTGATTGAGAGTCAAACTCAAGACCTCCGCTAAGTAAGCGGGTCCTCCAACCAACTGAGCTACGAGAGCTTGTTGCTCTTTTGTTTCAGTTCAAACAATTAATCTCTTGTTTCATGGATTTGTTATAAATTTCAAATATAGCTAGGAATGGTAAATTTGCTGAAAGTATAGCTACGAATGGTAAATATTTGGTGTGACGCGTAACTTTTTCCTTTTTTATTGAAAAATCTATGCGGTATACCCATTAGAAACACTAGTTCACTGCATATACATTTAAAATATTTATTTTACCTTGTATACCTATTTTATAAAACTATAGTTACTTTTAATTGTGGTGCCTATGCTTTCCAGAGCCGGGAGTCTATTGGAAACAACATCTCTACCTCCACAAGATAGGGGTAAGGCATGCGTGCACACTATCCTCCCCCGACCCCAAACATACCATAATATTCTGATTTGGAATACAATATTCAAACCAAAATAAATATTAGAGTACCGTATTCAAACCAAAATAAATATTAGAATATAATATTCAAACCAACACACTTTGATAGTATAGCACACTAATAATATATTCTGTTTTATGATTAAATATTGATATATTGTTAGAAATAATTTAGGAATACTACTATTCCTTAAT